TTTGTTGTTATATACCTGGATGACTGAGAAAACAAACTTTGTATGTATATATATAGTTCTAGAATTGCGCCGCTCAAGGGTGCTGCATGTTGGAGCAGCTCTGTTACTTTCATTCTGAGATTTTGCTTTTGGAAACTTTAATTCCTCTTTTTCTGGATGTAAATCACATTTTTTTGGATGATTGTTTCCTCTGGTATCGGATGCTGTGCAGCTGGAAGGATTTTTAGTTAAACTTTTTTAGTTATGGACATTTGTTATGATGCGTAACCATGGCAACAAGGCAGTTTTCTACAACCAACAGCAGCTGATTAACATCTCAAAAGCTCAAGTAATATCTCAACTACAGCCCCAAATCTCAAATGAGTTGAAAAGGATGTTCTGTGGACGCATTCTCATCTACCTGCCAGCTGTGCTCGAGTGACTGACCACTGAGATCCTGGAACTAGCAGGAAACATGGCCCACGACAGCAGAAGGACAGGATCGTCCCTCGGCACCTACCGCTGGCTGTCCGCAGAGACGAGGAGCTCGGCAGACTGCTGGGAGTAGTGGCCATCGCTCTGGAAGGAGTTCTGCCCAGCATTTGGGCGGTCCTACTGCCCGGTGGAACCGAGAGGCCAGCCGAGTCTGGGTGGACGGCTCGGACGGCATCTGCTGCCAGTTTATTAGGATCCACTGTGAGATGGACCTTTACAAGAGATCCTTCCTGTCTACAGCCATCAGCATCTATAACATCTCTTAATGAGATGAGGATAACGAGTTACAACAACAAATAATTTCCCTCTGGGATTAATAAAGTGTTTTTGAATTTGAATTTGAATTTTTGAATTTTTGAATATATGTATATATATAAAATACTCTTTATTGCATGCGTGCTGTGGGTAACAAGCATCATAAAAACAGCAACTGAGGTGTTGGAGTTATTTATTTATCATCTCAGCAGCAGAGGGGAGTGACACGGTTCAAGAGTGAATGTCTCCCAAAACGACAAGGCAGTCATATTTGTTCATGACTTTATCATAAGTAAGCCTGAGCATTGCCAGATCCAATCAAACAGTTGCCCGAATGCACTCTGTCAAAATAAGAGAGTCCCCGGATCTTGTTCCAACAAGATCCATTTCAAATTAAGCACTGCCCCCAGTGCTGACAATGGCTCTTGGTTTGAACAACATGAAGGCCATTGGTGTCAGAAAAATTCATGATGTGTATGTGTGTGGGGGCCCTGGTGGTGTGGTGGGGTGGGGGGAGTCTGGGGGTCTTCCCTCATAAAATTTTTAATAAAGTAGATGCCATTTCCTGCATTCTGGTGTATTTTACTGGGTTGTTAAACATTGCATTTACCTAAATAAGTATTCACTTGATTCAACTATTTTAGAGAGATCGGCACAACAAGAAGTAACGCTAAGCTAGAGGTGTGCATTACAGATGTGCTAGCTAAGATACTACAGACGTAGCACGTTGCTTTACATTACACAACCTAATAAACACTTTGTACAAAATCAGTTTAGATTTAACTGTTCATAACAAAGACTAAACTTATGCAACCATAAGTTACATATCTACATTTAAAACACACAAAACAAAGCACAACTAGCTTTAAGCATTAACCTTTAATTTAACCTTTAAGCATTCAATGTAATTATGAAGAAAATGGTGCAGTTAAGATAAGTTAAGATACTTTCATTTACCTTCATATAGATCAGGGCTGTTCAACTAAACTGCTCCGGGGGCCACAGTTTCTGAAAGATAGCAGCTCAGGGGCCGGACATCCAGCAATTATAGTCATTATGTAAATAAACCAAGTTTTACAATAATCTGCTAACTTTTAAATTTGTTAATTTTGTTGCATTGAATCATAAATGCAATAAGCAAAACCCATACCCAGAAGTGCCCCCCCCCCCCCCCCACACACACACACACACAAAAAAAGTTTTACTTTATTTTTCAGGGGTGCTAAGTTAAAACTTAGGGGTGCTTGAGCATCTGCAAAAAGAGGCTAAAATCACCACTCTTGTAGACTGATTCGATTTTAGACAGCTGGTCATATTGTTATGGCTAACTGGTGTTTATCATTCAGTAAGGAAGGGATCTGCTCAGATTTACATGTGTATGCAAAGTGTTTTTACATACTTACAGTCTCTTAATTCTTTTGAAGGAGGCTTCAACCTTTAATCTGTAATTACTGAAGTTTTTACCCCAAAACAAATGCATTACTGGTACATCTCCTTGAGGGTCATAGTGTTTAATAAAATGAAAAGTCCATGTGTTCCTTATAACCTCAGGAATGTCACGTTCTTTAGGTTTCCGGCCTCTGCACATGTTGACAGTGAGTCACGCACATAACAGGAAAGTAAGGCTGAAGAAGCCGATCTAAAGACTCATTTATGTTAGAGTTGAGTTTTACACTTTGTTCAATTAAAACAATACAAAGTAAAGAAATAATAAATATATATATATATATGAAAATGAATTATCTTCTTTTTTTTCAAGAACAAAGTTTTCTCTGCTGAACAAGATGAGTCAGTATGAAGTGGTCAGCATGGAAAATGCTCATCAGCAGTTTTTAAGGTTTTCTGCTTGATAAAAGCAAGAATAACAGATTTATAAACAGTCACATATATGAAATGACTGCTTCACTGAGCAAACATGAACACAGCAGATGCAGGTTTACATGATGATCACTCCATTTGGGTTGTTGGATGTGTGTCTCTTTGTCTATGTGGGACAAAATGACATTTATTTTCAGGGAAGGATGTGAGGATAATCAGTGTGTGATGGACATTTAGGTTTGATCATTAGACTCCACACCTCCACAGAACTGCAGAAGAATATGACGGCTCCACCACAAAAGCTGCTCCATAAAGAGTTAGTCATGAGTCACTGAGATGAAACTGATGACACAAGAAAACTTTGACAAGTTGTAACCAGTTCTCAAGAAATTACTGTAAATTGTACACATTTACAACAAAGTTCATGCTCAATCATCCAGGTACCAAAGCCAATAATTCTCAGTCGAGTCACCTGGACAGTTCGTTTTTTTATAGAAACGTTTCGCCCTCTATCCAGAGGGCTTCATCAGTCAGATGAGTTTCAGTGAACTGTTTCC